ACTCTTGTTCAAACCACCATTAACACAACAGTAAGCATGTCTGCTATTTGATGTCATTTTGTAAACACCGAGTTATGCATATTGCTTGGTTAGCAATTAAGTTTACGTTTTTTATTTTTTTTTTATTTTAAAAGTTAATTAGATTCCCGTCACTGAAGACTAAAGATATCTCTGTAACCGAACTCTATTTCACTCTATAACCTACGTCCATCCTAATAATACGAGTATGACATGGCGACCCACACCAGAGCAAGCTTTCGATTTGTGAACCAAAGTGGCAATTGAAGAAATTGGAGCTTAAAAACCATAAACATGAATTTGCAAGACCCGAAAGTTATTGAAAATTTAACATCAAGGAAGAAAAAAATAAATTAAATTATAGAAGATCGAGAAGGCTGACATAAGAAAAATCAAAGAACAAAATCTTTAGAAGAAAATATAAAAAATTATCATGGAAGTAAAATTATGGAAGAAAAGTCATAGAAAATTGAAAATGAAAAAAGAAGAGTTCACATTCTAGAAGCCTGCAGGAAAGAAGAGAGAAGCGTATGAACGGTCCAGGGTCCACTCATCAGTAATACAGCATGCAGCATCACGTTTCACGCTGTGTCGTGTTATCCACCATACCACGGAGTCAGCTAGAACCACGTTAAGCCACTTCATGAATCATTGTGACTTACATTCGTGCGGTACAGCACAATTATGTTACAATGTAAGTTACAATATTCGTTTATTATTTTTGTAGGTACCTATGTATTGTATTATGTGGAAAAAGTCGAGTTTGAGTTTTAGTATGTCTGCGCAAAGGAGGAAAGTTGGTTTATTTAAGAGAATATTTCGATACTTTCCACGTAAGTTGTTGTAAGCAACAAAATAGTATTTTTTCTTTATAACATATTATATATTATGTATGTGTATATGTACAATAGTGTATTACGCACTTTTAATACAATAGTGTATTAACTCAAGAAGTGTATATTTTCAGAATCGATGAAAAACTAATTACCTGCTCTCACTTCACCGTGAAAGATTATTAAAATGTATTTAACGATTTATAGGCTAAAGTTTATTACAGACGTCTAAACAATTACCTGTTTGCCAAATATATTTTTAAAATAAAAGTTAATTTCAAACTTTTGAGTAAGGACTCTTTTGTCCAGATCTAACTTACAAAACATTTTGAGATTAGTAATCGTTTAATTGTTTCTTACAATATTCTAACGATGGTTTCATCGACGTGTAGAGAATCAAAAGTTACGTTCAGAAATGGTTTAAACTTGAATTTCACATATTTTGAGTTACAACACTATTGTAATAGCAATGCCATACGGTTCGTGTACAAAATACATATATATGTGAATGTACGTATATATGTCATCATCATCATCATATCAGCCGGAAGATGTCCACTGCTGAACATAGGCTTTCCCCAAACATTGCCAGACTAGCCGGTCGGACGCAACGTGCATCCATCGGTCACCCGCCGACTTTAACAGGTCATCCGTCTAGTAAGGGGCCATGCCACTGAACGCCTTCCTATTCGTGGTCTCTATTCGAGAACCTTTCTGCCCCAACGGATTTCAACGAATTCTACGAATTATGTGCCCTGGCCACTGCCACTTCAATTAGCAATTTTTTCTAATTGAAGTGGCAGTGGCCACTAACTAACTTAACTTCCGTAACTAACGTAACTAACGTAACTTCCGTTTTTCTACGGATCTCCTCGTTTTTTGATTGTATCACGTAGAGAAATGCCGAGCATTGCCCGCTCCATAGCTCGTTGAGTACCTTTGAGCTTTTTTGTGATATCTATAGTGAGCGACCACTTCTCAGAGCCGTAGGTCATCCCTGGCAGCACGCACTGCGCGAAGACTTTTGTACATACATATGTATTGATTTGTGTAAAACTGGTCCAGAGAGATGTAAAAATATTGTTTACAAGAAATGAGAAGAAGTCACAACGTTTGGGTGATATAATATCTCAGTTAAATATAGTGGTCGATGAACAAAAGCGATGCTCAACTCATACTCAGAAACTTTTATTTTTAGCACTTAATTGACCAAATTAACGAGTACGTAATTATAAGAAAATTATTTTTTTATTATTATTTCAGGTAGATTCAAGTACCCAAACAACAATGGCGTTATAATAAATTTAAAATAAATAGCGCCATTTCGCTGTTATGCAATGTTTAGGTGGACCATGTAGCTTTTATATAAAATAAAATAAAAAATAGAACCCTTCACAGCATGCAGTTTTTTTTATGATATCAAGACGGACGGTCACGGTACGAACCAGTCGGGCGCCTGGTGATAAGCGACACGCCTGCTCAGAGATTTTAATCCTTACAGGATGGAAAAAAGTTTTAATCGCAATCTGAGGGACACTGCCTCCGTGGCCGAACGGTTACCATGCCAGACTGCCACGCAGAGGTCCTAGGTTCGATTCCCGGATCGGGAGAAATATTTGTATGACCTACATTTATTTCTCTCGTGAGTTTGGGTGTAATTTGTGGTTGTCTATGTGTGTGTCCATGGCACCCGCGACACAGGGTTTCCCTAGTGCGGGGCTATGTTGAGTGTGTGCGTTATTATTATTTTCGTATTTATTTTAAACTCTCGCATCTCCCAAGGCCTCAAAAATTTATTTTGAATTTTTAAATGGGAGAGGCGGTATTTCCCGGCAATGGCACAGTCGGCCGGGGTCAGGGACTCAGGTCCAAGAATCGGCGAACAATACGTGCCGTATCGAGCAGGACCGCCTTCTGCATTTGTGCTGGAAGCGACACGCCACAGAAATCCAACCGCCTCAAGCTGTTAGAAAGGCTGACTGGAATTAACCCATTTGCGGACAAAACAATTGGGATTATTTTAGTGGAGGCCACATCCCACATGTCGGTGATCTCGTGCGCCAGGTCGAGATACTTCCGGCGTTTCTCGGTTTCAGCTTTCACGAGACCCTCGTCATGCGGGATGGTGACGTCCACAAGAAATACCCTCGACTGCGATCGATCCAATATCACAATATCAGGCTTATTCGCAAGAATAGTCCTGTCCGTGATAATAGATCGATCCCAATAGATTTTGGTGCGGTCATCTTCGAGTATTGGCTCCGGTGAATACTTGTAATATGGCAACCTCTGTTGCACTAGTCCGTACTTGAGAGCGAGCTCTTGGTGTAATATTTTGGCTGCCTGGTTGTGTCTGTGCAAGTACTCAGTGTTAGCAAGAGCGGAACAACCGGAAACAATATGCCTAAGTGACTCTCCGGGACGGCCACATGCCCGACAAATGTCTACTGTGCCGTCCTTTAGGATATATTTCCGATAGTTCCGCGTCTTGATAACCTGATCCTGTATTGCACAGACAAAACCTTCGGTTTCCCCAAAGAGGTCCCCGAAACGCAGCCAATGTAGGGAGGCTTTACGGTCCATAAAAGGCTCGTGGAGTACCTTGAAGAACCTCCCATGGAGCTCCTTCTCTTTCCATACGGACTCGCGGTCAGAAGTGCTAAGCACCACCGGGTCTCGCCATTCCTCTTTGGCCAACGATAAGGGAGTTAGCCCTTTATCACATGTGACAACCTCTCCACGAATTACGTCATCCGTCATCGTCAAAAAGTAGTTTCTGAGACTGCATATCTCGCGGTTGTGCATGATTTTGACACTTAATAGGCCTCTACCTCCACACTTCCGCGGGACATACAATCTCATAACTGACGATCTCGGATGATGCATTCGGTGAGAGGTCATCGTCGTGCGGACTCGTCTATCCAGAGCGTCTAATTCCGTCTGAGTCCATTTGAGCACGCCAAATGTGTACATCAGAACAGGCATGACCCAGGAGTTATAAGCTCGGATCTTATTAACGCCTGACAAATAGCTGTTTAGCACATTTTTCAGGCGCCCATAAAAAACCTCGCACACACCCTGTTTCACGTCTGCTTCCTTCACTCCGATGGTCTGTGACATGCCCAAATACCGGTATGTTTCAGTCTCGGAGAGTACCCGCAGGTGATTGGTGCCAATATTAATGCCATCAGAATGCATGACACGTCCCCTCTCAACATGGACCACCGCGCACTTATCGATCCCAAGCTCCATCCTAACCGAACTGCTGAAATCGTTGGTGATTGTCAGCAGCTCCGTCAATCTGTCAGCTGTGGGGCCGTATAGCTTGAGATCATCCATGTAGAGAAGGTGAGGCATTCGCGGCCCACCTCTCCGAAACTGAAAGCCTGTGCCCGACCTCTCCAATAGAGTACTCAGAGGGTTCAGGGCCAGGCAAAACCACAGTGGACTCAGACAATCGCCCTGGAAAATACCTCGCCTTATTTCTATTCGGTCATCCGCATCCGTCATTCGCCGACCGTCCAGACTCAGGATCGTTCTCCAACATCCCATGCATTGCCCGAGGAAGTGTCGAACTGCACTGTCAATTTTATACAGTTCGAGGACCCTCGAGAGCCATGAGTGGGGCACCGAGTCGAACGCTTTCCTATAGTCTATCCAGGCAGCGGAGAAATTCCGACGGTTGCGTCTGACAAGTTGGCCAGCGACCGCGTCGATGAGGAGCAGCTCCTTACTACCGCGGCTACCGCCCCTACATCCGTTCTGAACCTCAGACATCACACTGTTATCAACAATGTGCTGACTTATCTTGGAGCTCAAAACAGATGTTAAAGTCTTGTATATTGTACAAAGACAAGTTATGGGGCGATACTGTGATGGATCCACGGTAGCATCGCTCTTTGGAGCTAAATGAGTGACCCCAGTAGTTAAGAAGTTTGGGAGCGTCCCACTCTCAAGGGCACTTTGGAACTGACGAGCGAGAGTAGCGTGGCAGCACCAGAACCCCTTCAGCCAATAATGATGCAGTCCGTCCGGTCCCGGACTTTTCCAGTTCGGAGCCTTACGGACCGCTACCGCTACATCCTCTTCGGATATGCTGATGGGATTCATAGGCGCTATGGTTGCACATGCTCCCTCGACCGCTTCGAACTATGGACCCTCTTCGTGATCGACGGGCTGCGACCAAAGCCTTCGCCAAAAGGCGACCACTTCTGCTTTGTCCGGACGCTCACCCGTCAAGACCACATCAGGACGCTCCAGTGTCCTATAAAACTTCTTTTGGTCACTCATGAAGAGACGATTCTGCCGATACCTCTTCACCCTTTCGGAATATCGCCGAATCCGCTTGCCCCAAGCAGCTATCTTCTGCTTCAGATCATCGATGCGCCCTGTCAGTTTTCGTGCAAACTCCGGTGAGTCTACAAAAATGTTCTCACCGGGGAATGCTTCTCGGACAAAGCGCATCACTCTCGGCCTTGTGACGCCTGATCTGAAGCTAGTCAGTTTGCCGATGAGGACCCTGGCCCATGCTATACGACCCTCAATTCGCCTCATCCAGGCTGGCTTAGTACTAGTCCTAGGAGTAGTGCTGCCAACCTGGTGGTTACCGCCGGGTCTTGTTGGCGGCATCCTGACGCCGACAAATTGACACACAGTCATTGCGGCAGCGAAGAGAATTGAGTCTGTCTCCCAAAGGCCTACGCTTTCCTCTAAAAATGAGGGAAGCATGTTGTTAATGGCCCCAACGGCATCCCGAACCTTGATACTGAGAGGCACTCGAGGCAGCCGTGGCCTTCGCTCAAGAGGCACGTGGCGATATTCCAGAATCGTCTCCTCCAGACTACTCCTCAACGCTTCCAAATCCAGGGCGGCTGTTCCCCAATCACTTTCAGTACCACCCGTATCCGGCTGCTGAGCACTAGGTTCCCTGTGAACTTCCCTGCTGAGAACAGGAGAGCGCTCCAGCCTGGGTGGCTCTTCTTCCAGTGGAGGAACAGCCTCGCATCGTAATTGCTCGAGTTCGGCAGCGCTAAAAAGTCCTGAGCGCTGTAGGTACCGAACTCGGTCCGCCAGGTTTTGTTCTGTGACGGTCAAAGTTGGCTCCAGCCGAAGAAATTCGCGGTACATTACTGCTCGGTAACCTGTCCGTCCGGTTCCCGAACCTGAGGCCCTAAAATAGGCCCGCATGGCATTTTTATTCATATCAATCGTCCATGCCATGCGGCGCCGTACTCCACCAGAGGCGGGTACCGATTGCTGGGACCGAGTTGCCCCAGCCCCTGCCGATACCATGCCAACTGGTGGTGGTGGATCGTGAGTAGACTGGCCGGATGGTCGGGCCAGTCTGCCGCGGCTGGGGGCCCGCATACTGCCACGCCCAGCCCCAGCTCCAGGCGCGCCCCGGCGATTACCCCCGGGAAGCGGTCCTATTCGCTCATCGTAACTGTTGTGCTCCATCATTTACGATGAGCAATTTTACACCCAGGGCTTTCACTCACTTACCCCGGGGAGACCGTTATTTACCCTATTTAACGCTGAGACCAGTTCCTTGACACGGTTCTGTACATCAATGAACTCTAGCGCTGACTGTTTGCACTACTGAAACGGTAAAGTGACATGATATTCACTGTGCCGTTCCACCAGTGGGCGATGAGGTCGTCACCTACGCCTTATTATTATTATTATCGTATTTATTTTAAACTCTCGCCTCTCCCAGGGCCTAAAAGATTAATTTTGAATTTTTAAATGGGAGAGGCGGTATTTCCCGGCAATGGCACAGTCGGCCGGGGTCAGGGATTATTATTATTATTATTACTGCGCCTGCCAACCTGAGGCATAAGTTAACAAGTTCCATGTGTCTATAATTTTCACCAGTGCTATAGTTTCAAATATAACCTCCTGCTTTTTGACAATCCTTTATTTTTTTCCATCCTCTTAAATTTAAACCAAAAACAAAAAAAGAATTGAAATAGTCAAAAAGAAGGAAAAGTGTTTATTATTTGTTGTCATTTTTACTTGTTCGAGCGAAATTATCGATTATTTCCCTAAAGGATGGAAAAAAAACAATAGTCTAATATTTATTCGATGGGGCTATAACATTAAAAGAAGAAGAAGTAGTATGAGTTGTATTAAATATTATGAATCTTAGAGACATAAATTGTAAATTATTTTTGTCAAGTTACGGCTGATTTAACATGTGGGAGTAATAATTTCGATGTTTTTTCGTACAATTATATTCTACTCGATCCATGCAAGGTTCAAATAAACAGGAAAAATAGAAACAGCGTGTTTTGGGAAGTAGTCTTGGACAAATGCCAGTGTTATACAGATTTTAATTTTCGGTATCTCTACTTACCGCAACAATACGGCCCAGTAGAAGCTTGTGTCAGTATACAGGCAGTAGTATATAGGAAACTAAGATGCATCCGCTAGAAGAACGCGCGTGTGATGAGTTGCTGGAACACCCGTTACTCCGCACACCACCGCCGGAGCCAGAGCGGCCACGCCCACCGTGGGTACGCAAGCCCAGGGTCTTTAAAGTGGTAAGAATGTCAATTACTATATTATAAATATGTATTTAAACAGTCGTTAGAACCTAAAACATGCTATTTTCTACAAATCACCGACGATACGTCGGAGCCAATTTCGATGTACTCCTCCTTATCATAACTAACGCGTTTGCGTTTTTGTAATTTTCGAGATATTAGCACCTAAAGTTTTTTCTTTGACAATTAACGTTGATTACGCTAATTTCACTTAGCAACAAAACTGAAACTAAATAAGATATAAAATAACCGCTTATGTGTGGTGACAGATCTCGTTTCGTTGATTCCAGATACATGAATACCACAATTTCGCTAAAAATGTCGACATCGTTAGTTATGATAAAGGGCTGAGTAAATATTGTATACGCACCTACGCATACAAAATTTACTCCCAAATAAGTACCTACAAAACAACGATATCTATATCTATCATCATATCGATGTGCTATGTAGTAGCTAACAACAGTAAAATGCCAGACAACGAACGAGGATTTAACGCGAATTACATAATCAACACTGCTTTAGTACTTTTCCACTACAAAATAATTAAACCAAGTAATTAATATTTATAGTTTGTACCAGGAAAGAAATATACCATGGATTTTTTTTTAATAATATCAAGTGACGGGACGAGCAAGTCGTACGCCTGATGGTTACAAACACGCCTGTCCATATCGCAAAGATTTGATGGGCACTACCACTGCGCCCGTAACCCTGAGACATAAGTTGACAACTCCCATGTACCTGCAATTTCACCAGGGAATTTTATTTTGATAAAGTAAGTGCCAATATTGTAGTTAATGACAAATTATTTAATGATATCCATTAGTAACGTTATACAGGTTGTTTTTTTATTACTTTTACTTAACAGGAGGCCTGATACCTCCATCCAGGCAAATATGCATTGGCGTCACAAATTATACAAGCAATTTAGAAAATAACCAGTTTCTTTATTTGGATTTTATGATTTGATCTACCGCCTCTGAAGCCGAAGCCGTGCCTAGTTTCTCGGAATTATGTGCTAAGTTTCGTACATAAATTAATTTGAAATTTATCATGAGCTTTTCGATGAACAAAAACCATCGAGGTGAAATCTGAAGAAGGTCACATCCACGAAAGAAAAAAAACATTGGAAGTGCCTTAAGCCTCTGGTACTATCAGAATCGATGTCGCCAAAACTCACACATTCTCAATTTGAAACACTACAAAATCTTGATATTGATTGGTCGTAGTTTTAAATATAAAAAGAAATAACAAACTCTGGATTGTTAATATAATTTAAACTTTACCCTGTTGGCATATGGTTGAAGGTTCAATACCATCAATACATATTACTGCGAGTTACGACCTTTTGATATTATATTGAAATTTCAATCAATGTGCTGCCATGTAGCAATTAATTGCTGCCATGTAGCGATTAATTGCTGAATGACGACGAATTGGAGTTATTACTTTAGTTCAAAAAAGAAGCAACCATATCGCTGGGGCATAAGCTTTACTTTCGTTTCTTATAACAAAAAAAATATTTCGATAAACATAAAATTGAAAATTTATTAAAATAAGACTTTCCGATGATATGAAATACCACCACGGATTTTTGCAGTCCAAAACAGTACAATAACTAATTTTTCTAGGATTTTAGAGAATTTGCACGAAAGAATGACACAACCATACCATACAAAGCGAAAATGGCGGACTGAGCTCAAGTAGGCATTTCGAGACCTACACTTGACACGCGTGAGACGCTAACTAACCACTTCTACTGTATTTATTGTTCTGTGGTCATAACCCTCGGAAAACGTGTGAAGTCTCCTACTGGCATTTGGCCAAGGTGGCGGATTATTACTTACTTAATTAATTACCTTGACCCGTGCCAAGCAGTGGGACGTACAATTACCAGTTGATAAACAAATGTATAATGTGGGTGGGAATCGATGTCCATTAATAATAATAATAATAATAATATAATAATAATAATAATCATTTATTTCAGGCATTTTGGCCCATATTAATTGAATACAGTAATTACATTTAATGATTAATTACAAGTTGGTGAATAATAAAAACATAAAGACAAAAATAAAAATAATTTAAAATTCATTATCAATAACTTAAAATTAAAACAATAAAAAGAATCCAAAATTAAACATTCAAATTAAAAAATATAAAATAACTAAACTTACTTAACGAAGCGGGATGCACTGGCATGCAACCGCAACCACCTACACATCATATCCGAGTCCCAGCGCTCGGACAGTGCGCTCAGTATTCCATTAGTACTAGACCGTAGGCGCGACAGTAGTGAAGCGCTCCGTTTGCGTATTATAGCATAAAAGTCATCAATGTGAGCTTCTGCAAACATGGCGGAGGCGCTACAGAATCTCGGCATTTTCAACAGAATTCTGAGCGCATCGTTGTATTGTACACGTAGTGCGCTGTACGCCCGCTGTGTAAAATTAGTCCACAGGCTGCACGTGTAAAAGCTCTGACAATATGCTTTAAAGAGCGTCAGCTTTACTTGTCTTGTACAGCGCGAAAACCTACGAGCCAACATGTTGCAGCGGACGGACAGCGCCCTCCGCTCCCTATCAATGTCCCCGCAATCACACTAATCGTCGGTGACCCAGTGGCCCAGATACTTGAATTTATGTACCATATTCAAAACAGTGCCACAAAGAGTAATGGGTAGGGAAGAGTAGCATTTGGTACCAGCTTTAAAAATCATGCACTCACTCTTTTTGGAATTGTATCTGAGCCCATGGGCCTCCGCGTACGACTCACAAATGCGCAGTAGTTTCCTCAGAGCACCCACCGATGGACTCAGCAGCACCATGTCGTCTGCGTAACTGATGTTATTGACGCACACTCCGTCTATAGAGCAACCGACATTGGCGCCTGCGAGCCCACCGATGAGCGCGTTCATGTATAGGTTGAAGAGACGAGGCGAGCTCAACCCTCCCTGACTCACCCCACACTCCAACCCATACGTATCCGAGAACTCTCCCGCCCACTTCACACTGTTGTGCTGGTGATTATACCAATACCTAAAAATTGACACAATCTCACTAGGCACTTCAGTTTCTGATTCCAGCTTTTGCCACAGCCTGTCATATGAAACTAGGTCGAAGGCTTTTGACAGGTCCAAAAAACAGGCATATATTGGTGTTTTTCTAGCAGTGTAGTACTGAACAGTCTGCTTGAGACAAAGTATGGCGCTTTCAGTTGACAACGGGTTTAAATCCAAACTGAGCGTCATGCAAGTGGATGTATTTGTCCAACTGTTTATCAAGCAGACTATCCAGTACCTTAGCTATAGTAGTTGCCAGTGAAATTGGCCTGTAATTAGATAAATCTGAGGCGTCACCCGTTCTGTTTTTAATAATAGAAACCACCACAGTATACATTAGATCATCGGGTAAATACTCATGATTCACACATAGGCTGAAAAACATTGCGAGAACCCTTGGCAGGTGCGGACCAGCATACTTTAAGTGCTCGATGCTGAGGTCGTCATGCCCCGGGGACTTGCCTCTAACCATCCCTCTTATAATATTTGCTATATCTTCAGCCAAAAAGCGTACACTAATGTTCCCGGGGTCACCCTCAGCATCGACCACCCTCGACATCTGTCCGAGCGACGACTCCACCCTGAAATGACGCTGAAACGCGGCAGCTATGTTACGTGTCTCGTGTTCGCCGCCCACACTCACAGGTAGACTCGACTTAGGGTTTAAGTTATTCGTGTTTTTCCAAAATTTGTCAAATTTTTTCTTAGCATGATGTTTCGCCAGAATATCCATTTTTATTTGTGATTCATTGTCTTGACAAAATTTTAACTTGGACTTAAAATGTTTTCTTGACTCACGCATATTATTGTAGATGTCCCCGTATTTAGGTTTTCCACACAACATCCACGTTTGAAAACAAAGTCGAGCCCACCTATGAGCGGCACTGACATGTCGATTCCATCCTGGCACATGTCTATTGTTATTACGTTTAGGTGCCCTGTAACTACACTCAGCTGCAGCCCTCATCACCCCCACAATATCACTGTACATTTTGTTCAACAACAATTTATGGCTAGAAACCTTACACAATTTACCAGAACACTCAGAAAACTCAAATGGAAGGTCAATTAGGTTTAATTTTGTGTTGCAATAATTATAATATTTATCCCTTTGTCTATCGTCTCTTGCTCCCCATTTAACCTTATTACTTGAAGGCAAAGCCTTAGTACATTTTGGAAAAATAATATTCAAATTACAGTGCACACGCAAAGGGTAATGATCAGAACAATATGTATCATACAATACTTCGACTCCGACCACAGTGCGGCGCGCCGCATCCGTAACCACACAATGGTCAAGCCATCTGTGGGTCCCATGCGCATCACTCACGAACGTAAAAGTGTCACTTGGCAAATATTCCTTATCTATGCATGACCACAATTGTTCCTTGCAAAAAGTTAGTAACTCGTTGGAAAACAACTCACCGGGATGCGCATTGAAGTCCCCAAGAATGTAAACCGACTCCACATCGTTGCTCTCTATTATGGCGTGTATTTCACTAAGGCATTGTGTAAACTCCGTTAAGTTAGCGTCAATATCACATGGCATGTACACTGGTAACACTATTATCGACCGGTCACTAAGCTCCACTTTAATTGCATTGAGACGCACACTATTGCACTTAATCACTGATACCGACGGGAAAGTTGCTTTTCGCCACAACAAGGCAACACCTCCATACGGCCTTCCCCGCAGAACACCAGTTGATAGATCGACGGCAGAGTTTCCGGTAAAGGAAAAATCATTGTCAATGCTACCCAGGTACGGTATGTCGTGCGGAAGAAGCCACGTCTCTTGAAGTGCCACTATATCCGCCGAGCGACACAGTTTCCTTATATCCTCAACAGAACGAACCACGTTCTTACAGTTGAAACTAATCATTTTAATATTATTTCCGTCCATTTGATGACGTTTGAACTCTATTTTCACAATAACTTTGTGTAGAAGAAGCTCGACTAAAGTTCACAAAACGGCGATACAAAATACCGGCAGGCCAGAAATCGTCCTTTAAAAATAATTCAAGCTTACTTTTAGGAACAAAAACTTTATAAGAATCGTATTCCTTTGCTGTTTTCATTATTATCTTTTCTAAATGCACATCTAGGTTTGTACTCGATTTTATATAGTTTTTTATGTCACATAGTGTTGCTTCCTTCGAGATGTTATAAATAAAGATTGGTACTTTAATATCCGCCGCTCTAAACTTAGTGTCAGAATCGACTTTGCTTTCCCAGATTTCCCTATTAAACGATTTTTCAATCGCTTTCTCTGAACGAGCGTCCATTCCTCGTTTTGTGCTGGAGGTTTCCAATTTCCATTTTGCGCAACGTCCAAGTAACTTTTACCATCGCTTGTGTATAGGTGCCCGCATGACTGGCGAGCAGTGGAGCTCACATTAACGGGTACAGCGGCGTCCCTCCCCGCACGGGCAGGGGCAGTGTGACTCACAGTAGACGACGGTGAGCCAACGCACGGTTGGTCGTCGGGCAACACGCGCTCAGCTGAGCTTTATTTACTAGGCGGTAGTTCTGCGCTCGGAGTTAATTGCGATGATTTTTGCGTTCTATTACCCTCCCGTGTAAAATCACTGCGTTGCTCTCTTAATGATAATTTTTCTGGCGACTTATTAAGTACACATTCCGTTGTAAGTCCCATGGGTCCACTCTCATACTCGAAACTCGACAAGACACACGCACCCCTTTTGTTGTTGACAGAACGGGTAAAGGGAAAGTTATTGACGATTGACGCGTTCTTAAGTGCCTCAAGCTCCGTCTGAACTTTTTGTAGTTCCTTCACTGTCGCATACTCTTCACTAATTCGGTCTATATCATTTCTCATCCTCATAATATCTTTCAGAAGACGGGTCACATCTACATGATCGAAATGAACGGGAGGTAATTTTTGCAAGTCTCGCGCCACAAAGGTGGGAATTTCCTCGGGATCCGTCTCCTTTAGCAAGCAGATAATGTCCCCTATATTACGCAATGTTTTTCCTTGTCGCTTTCTTATCTTTTTACCTTGTTGTTCTGGTATGGAAGCATACAACAAGTTTTTAGCGGTAACAATTTCGTCTTCGGTGAAAGCAGTGGTGCATATCCTGGTAATGCTATCCTCATCCATGACATCCATTTTGTTACAAATAAATGCCAACACCTCGTTGATCACAATTTTACAATGTATACACTTTACTACGTTTGAAGCCATTTTATAAAACGGCTAATCCGCGCCCGCGCGTTAAAATGTCATCAAATTGTGTTCATCGATTGTGCGTATTTATCATTATTTACTGTGAACTATGTTGTAATGTTAACTTTATCAATTCCGAGGCTATGAATGGAAACATGGCAGTTATTATGCATGAAGCTTATCGCATATACGTTTGTAAAGTTTCGGATTGTAAGGTTTTCTTGATTGGAAATAAACTCAAAACTCACTGAGTTAGCAACGACAATGGGACCTCTAAAAAGTCCAAAACGTTAGTTTGTTTGAAAAAATAAAACATAAATACGTGATTATGTATGTTTTGGAAAAAAAAATTTTGTAAAGTTGTATATCGGATTGTAATTTACAGATGGCAAGATTTCCACTGCTCGATAAAGAGTTTTACGCGCGTTGGGTAAATCATCAAAAAGAGGTATAGAAACTGCAATATACACCGTAGGGTAGACCGGAGGCAAAAGTAACACTTATAACGCACGCTTCGATTATGTAACTGCTTTACCGTATCCTTAAAACATTTCCCGTGTAAGGATTATACGATATTATGCTTTGAAAATGTAAGATTTTAAAGGTTTTGTGAGACGGGGGGTTTGTTACGCCCCCTACCCCGGGTACAAAAGTAACACCAGTTGAAAAAATAAAACACAGCGAAAATATAGAAAAGTACGGATATTTTGCTTTAATGAGATATACCACTATTATAATATA